CGCCACTACTCTATGCCGGCAGAATGCACTTGGCTTGGGGTCTGGATTTGGGCTGTACATTCTTGGTGGTTCGGAGTTAGTGGAATCGGAGCTAGTGGTACCGTTTAAAGGAACCCTTTAATGGTGTCGGGTTTGCGGTTTTTCGCGGAGGCTCTCAGGTCACGCAAAGACTCGGAGCCATGAATCCGGAACGGCTCTAAGCCCGAAATCCGGTTTAGGGTTTAGGCTGAAGGTCTTGTTGATTATCCCCGAATCCGAGCAAAGTTTCAACGGGCCCTCAATCCGAATCAAGCCCTGAACTCTGCCACACCTCAACCCCAAACGTGCCTCCAAACCCCTAGACCCTGAATCTTAAATCCTGCACCCCCGAACACCGCACATAGACCCCAAACCCCAAGATTTATGTTGAGGATTGCGTCCGGGTTTTTCCAGGCGGGAGGAACGACTTTCGGGATCGGGACGAGGTCGAGGGTGAAGGTGTTGGTCCGTAGCAAAGGAAGCATGGCTTTGGGGTTCTGGCTTCAGGGTTTCACATCTTGCCTGGAGTCTGAGCACACGGTAATTGGCCGATGGCACACATCATTTGATGATGGGAATTAGTGTCAAGATGGCTGCTGTTGACAGCAATCGGGACGTTCTTCATCACCAGCATTGAGAAGATAATACCAGTCCGTCTTGGAGCCCATCCGCAAGCGACAGTTGTCTTCTCTAGCAAGGATGTCAACTCAAGATTCGTGTCTCCCGGACACCAGAAGCGATGTTGAAACCCGATGCCCTAACCTCGAACACTAAATCTCTTCACATCGTTTGGGGAGGACGTGGGCTGGCTTAGCATAACGGATCGAGTAGTGCATTGTAGTATTGTTCCGTTTCGTTTTATCCACTCAAAGCACCAGACCAGCAAAACAGCACAACTTAGTCAGCCTCTCGCTCTCTCTCCGTCTGTCTGTCTGTCTGTCTGTCTGTCTGTCTGTCTGTATGTATGTATGTATGTATGTATGTATGTATGTTGGCAGGTAATTATGTAGGTATGTACGTCTGCACGTATGCATGTATGCCTGCATTTAAACTGTTTTACAGCGATATTTCTTAATTGCGCTCTCCCTCTCCCTCTCTCTCTTTCTCTATCCCTCTCTCTTTTTATTTGTCTGTCGATCTATGTATCTACCTGTCGCTTTCTATATATATGTGTACATACATACGTTACATGCATTTCTCTCTCGCTCTCGCTCTCTCTCTCTCTCTCTCTTTCTTTCTCACGGCCATCGGAGGAGTTAGCGACCAAGCCGAGCAAGCAGCACACAGGTTGTGACGCAGCTGTCTCTAGGACTAACCCGCGGCCCCAGTGCAGGGTACACACATACATACATACATACATACATACATACATACATACATACATACGTTACATGACATACATACATACATACATACATACATACATACATACATACATACATATACATACAACATTATGTACACACATACATACATGCATACATACATACATATATACATACATACATACGTTCATACGTGACATACATACAGACATACATACGTACCTACGTACGTACGTACGTACATACATACATACACAGATGCCCGAGTCCAAGCCCCAGCTTGACCATTCCACTCTGCTCTGAGATTCTCCGGAAGTCAGCGAGCCGAAAACGAAGTCAGACCAGGAAGACGAGAGGCCGGTCTAGGGCTCCTCGTAAAATAACTTGTCTTTACAGTCTGCACATAAATTTGTGATGCATGTATGTAAACCTTTGCACATGTATGTATGTATACATGTATATATGTATATATGTATATATGTATATATGTATATACACATATGCATACTCTGTGTGTGTATGTGTATATATATATATATATATGTATACACATGGCTTATGGCCTACGGTTTGGGGTTTAGGATCTAGGTCGCGGGTGTGGGATTTAGGGCTATCAGCGATAGTGATATCGGCACAACCCTCGGAATACCTGAGTATCCTAATCTCAAACCTTATGTATCATTGTGGCTACTGGACTTGGTTCGTTGGCTAACTCTCACACATAAAATCCCAAAAGCGACGCACGTGTCACGCGGGTAGGTGCTGCCTCGAAGGTGGGTTCTTGGTTGTTTACTTTGACCTTGTCCCGAACCTGAACCCGACGACCGCTTATTGCAAGCCCTGCGTTCAGAAGAGCACGTCTGCACCGCAAATAGAAAAACTAGCCAGCGAAATTCTCTTAGTCAGTCAAGTCCGATTCGGAGTGACGAATGCCCCATCACAAAAAACAGTAGCCACGGCAAGAAACCTAACACTCGCAACACAGAACACAGCAGCAGTGCTATACTGGCCACAACAAATCTCATCACCCTCAGAAAAGTCATCATCGCCATCATCATCAACATCATCAAGTCACCCCAGCCCCTAATTTATTGCAACCCAAATTCCGAAGACAAAGCGTGAACAGGCGGCGGGAGCTTTGGAAGCAGGAGGCCTCAGCACGGGAGATTTCGCGGGAATAGGGCCAGGGAGGTTCACGGGTAGTTATAAGTACGTCATTTTAGGGTTTAGGGTTTGGGGTTTAGGGTTTAGGGTTTAGGGTTTAGGGAGGGTTATAAGTCCCCTTATATGGGTTATTATAGTTACCCTACTTATAACCCCACTTGTAACTACCCTGGAACTCCAAGCGGAGATGCTGAGCGAGCGCAGAATGCTCATTGAACTGATGATCTCTGCATGCAGTCATCGCGGAAAATGCCCCAGCACCCTAGCACTTCATGGTATGCTAGGTATGCTAGGGCCTGGAGTTGATGGCTCCTCATCCTGACAACTTAGGGCTTAGGGTTTTAGGGCTTTAGGGTAAAAGGTTCTGGACCTGTGTTGTAACTGCGAATCGCCCATACTCGCCCTTGCAGAACCGAACTCTGCAATAGAGTTTGCGTAGCTACATTCACGAGTACATCAAAGACTGTCCTGTCCGCAGCTCCGTTTGCAAACCTTAATACTTACAACCCAAACCCCGAGCCCTAAACCCTAAACCCTAAACCCCAAACCCCAAACCCTAAACCCTAAACCTGAGCGCTCTCTGTGCCCCTACCACATTTCTCCAAGATAGCAGGGAGCCTTACGATGGCTCCCTTAAAATGGTTGGGTTAAGGGTTTAGGGTTTAGGGTTGAAGGTTTAGGGTTTAGGGTTTAGGGTTTAGGGTTTAGGGTTTAGGTTTATCCTTAAACAGTTTAGGGTTCAGGGTTTAGGGTCCTTAATTTGTTGCTCCTCATATTAAAAGTTTAGGGTTCGGGGTTGAGCCTTATCAAAAGGATCGTAATATGGGGGCCTTAGTAATCAGAACATGGTTTTGGGGGTTCCTTATTATGTAGCGTTTTGGGGTTTCCTTATTATATATTATAGTATAACATACCCCTACCCTATCCTAATCATTAAGGCCACTATATTATCCTTCATTTGTTGCTCCTCATCTTAAGAGTTTAGGGTTCGGGGTTGAGGCCTGAACCCTAAACCCCAAACCCCAAATCCCAAAACCCCAAACCGCCAGATGTTTGGGGCTTCTGGTTTATGGTTTAGGGTTAAGGTAGGAGCCCAAGACCCTATTTCTAACTTATAAGGCCCCTACACTAGGCACTGACCGACTAATTATGCCTTCTTCCTAAACCCTACGAACCCTAAGATCTCCTAACCCCGAAATTCCAAACTCCAGACCCTACATACATAAACGCGTTTCGTGGTTTGGGGTTTATGGTTTAGGGTTGCGTAACACCCCAAGCCCTACAAGTCCGAAGTCCACAAAGCTTGAGTCCCAAAGCCGAAACCTTGAGCCGTGTGCGCAAGGCGGAAGCCAAACGCCGCCATGCATTTGGACCCCGAAGGCAACACGGAGACGTCGTAATATAGGGGCCTTGATATTTAGAATGGGGTTTGGGGGTAGTTTATACTAGATCTATAATGAGGAGCCCCCAAAAATCCTAGTCTAATTACTAAGGCTTTAGGATGGGGTTTGGGGGTGGTTTTTTATTATAACTATAGTAAGGAAGCCCCAACAATCCTATTCTAATTCCTAAAGCTTTATGATGGGGCTTGGGGGTAGTTTATACTATAACTATAGGAAGGAACCCCCCAAAATCCTATTCTAATTCCTAAGCTTTAGGATGGGGTTTGGGGGGAGTTTTTATTATCACTATAGTAAGGAACCCCCCCAAAAAATCCTATTTTAATTAGTAAGGCCCCTACAGCCCTACATTAGGGATCAGGATGCCGAGCTTGGGAGCTGCCAGGGTTTCTGGGAGTTAGGCTGTAGGGTTCTGGGGCGATGGCTTAAGGCTGTAAGGGTCCACATGTTGGCTTCATGGTTTTCTTGTTTTTTTGAGATGGTTGAGGGTTAATTCAAGATTGGGCTAAGATCGGCTTATGCGAGCTGAAAGGAGACGGGGGAAGCAGGGTAGGGCTCCAGGGCTGCATAATCATCCTGTCGCCATCTCCGAGCTCACCCAGAAGACCTTAATGGGCCGAGACTACACGAGCAGATATCAGTAAGCCGCCACCATCCTAAATACACTGTACCCCTGCCGGCATCTTCAACTTAAGACCCTTCAGGTGGATGTAGACAGCATTTTCCAAAAAGCGGTTGCGACAGGCAGCAGGATTGACTGCTCAAACATCCAAGCTTGAGAGCCTCTCTTCGATATCATTCATCCCTTCCCATCGTATTATTTATCTACCTACTTACGTGTCTTTGTGACTATCTCTTGTCGTCTCTCGAACAGATACCTAAGCTTGATTTACTTCCTGATTCGCTTATGTAATTAAAATGAATATCCAAATCAGTACCCAAATGCATAGAACTCAAAAATATATACATAAATACATATGTATATATTTATGTACATATACGTATGTACAGATGTATGCATGCATGTCAGACATGGTCTTGATGAGCTGGCACTAGTGACCGCTAGTGACCGACACTGCATCTTAGCGCGAACATGGCGCATGTGGATGCTCAGAAGCTTTACTCGGTGTATGCCAATGTCTATGATGTGACCAGGAGCAATGACGTGAAATTGTTCAAGGCAGTTTTCGCACACTGCTGGGCGCCAGTGAAGTTCGGTGGCATTTTTCATGTGGGAGTGCAAGTCGGCAGCACAGAGTGGGCTTTTGGGAAGATGCTGAGCTCGACAAAGCCCGGTGTGTTTGGCATCCCACCACGACAGGACACCCTGCACAGCTACAGGAAGACGATCTTCGTAGGGTACACAAATTTGTCCCAGCGGGAGTACAACGCCATGATCAGGGACATTGTCGAGGATGACCCTGGTACGTCCTACGACGTCCTCCAACGCAATTGTATTCACTTCGCGGAGGACTTCTGCCACCGCTTGAAGCTGAAAGCCCTCCCAGAGTGGATCAGTAGATTCGCAAGATACGGAAGCTCCACGGCTGAAAATGTCAGCGAAACACCAACATGGTTCAGTTCTTTCGCATCGTGCTGGCCAGGAGAATCGACAGAGAGATTCTCCATCCCGGAAGCATTGCCTGCGACTGCCAGTCACAGGCAATGTTTCCGGGCTGCTACGATGACGGTGGCCCCCCTGTGAATGGCCAATGTTACCTCTTCTGGACTTAGCTCCCGCAATGTCGATAAATCGCGTAATGAGTGTAATGTGTATGCAACAATGCCAGCTTGTGCTGCCTTGGAATTCATCGTGGGTTAGACATGCCCACGCAAGCCAAATTCAGGGCTCGTCGGTGCACAAGACCATGGCATCTACCCTCCGCTTTGTGAAAATCGATTCCAAAGCATGGCGGCATCTTGCCACTTGCCCCCCGCTGTGGTTCCTTCTCCCGGCTCCCTGGCATCGCAATTGAAATTCATCCAGGCTTTGTTGCAAGACCTTGGGGCGTTAAAACTTAACCCCACACACAGCGGCTGAAGCCCTCTTGCATGATTCATGCACCCACATCCCGGTGAAGCCTCCAAACGCTGGACCCCTAAACACTCCGCAAACACACTCGATGGAGGAGGCCGTGAAAGCACCCGAGCCTTCCCAAACCTTTCAAATTGCCCTCATGCCCACTCTGCCCGAAATCCTCGTGACTACATGTAGCATTGCACCAGAGAAGGCCTTCAACAAACAAAACCAATCTTTGAACATGAGGCCCTCCCGGAAGCAGTAGTCTATGTTTAAGAGATTGCTCAGTCCCCTATGTTTAGCCACATGAGCCTTGAACCGCATTTCTACGCCAGAACATTTTCGCTTGAGGGACCTCCACTCAGTTGCTGGCTCGTGGCTCAGGGTCTATAGGGTCTAAGGGTCTAGAGTTTGGAAGCTTTTCATCAGTATGGCCACGACTGAGATGATTGTTACTGTCCTTGTCATTGCTTCGGTGTTGTTTTGCTCTCAAGTTCGTTGTTCCTGTTAGCACCACATTTTCACGAAATACTGAACAGCTACTCTTCGTGCGTGGTTCAATCCTACCCTTGTCTATGCAGTTTCCTGTTGTTACTACTGCGGCTGCAGGAAAAGCCGTGCAGGGTAGCGAAGGTGTTGTTCCATTTCAGTTTTAAATTAACCCCTAAACCCTACACCTTAAACCGAAGACTTCTAGCGGGCACCGTTCAAATTGAGATCCACAATGTTTCGGGTTTCGTGGGGTTCTGGTTTCCTTTCTGCAGAATCGCTCCGGCAACCCGGTATACCAGAAGGCTAACGGCAAAGCTGGAGCCCTTAAGGACGTATCCAAGACTTTTAAACAACTCCTAAGCCCTAAAGCATAAACCCCTAAACCCCTAAGCCCAAAGCCCTTAACCCCTAAACCCCGAAACATCCAGCCGACAGCATCGCGTTGTGTTTAGTCCCGACCCTGCAGTCTCGAGTTGGAAACCATGGCAGGCGTGAGTTCGTCCACGAGGCCGCTATGGCTCACAGAGGTGCGGTGCGAAATGTGAGAGCCTTGGTCATGCAGGACGGAAATTAGGCTTTGGTTTAAGATCCACAGGGTGCACGAGATCTCGAGAAAATGTGGCGCACCCTCGTCCACACAGTTTATCACAGTGTCATGAGGATAGGAAAATGACTCGTTACTTATCCGATTAGCAACCCAGTCGCCTGCAGTATGTGCGGTGACATCTGTGGGCAGAGCAGTGCTGGTCTTGATGCGATTTTGCACTCCGAAGTATGCCAAGTACTTTGAAGAAACTGTAATAATCGCATCACGTACTGCAGTTTGCAACAATAATAGCAAGAACAACTAGCAATACTGCACTCAACTGGCAATAACAGGTTATGATACCTGTGGTCCAACTGGATAGCAGTAACCGCGGCAATCGCAGTAGTTGTCTTGGCCAACTCGCAGTTTTGCCTGAGCAGGGAAATTCGCACTGCAGCTCGCAAGCAACATCATGTCATGAACTCTAAACCCTACACCCTACTCCTTAAACCGAAAATTGAACGGCCTTCGCCTTTAGTCTCGAGACATTCGACCCTAAAACACCCCGGCACAAGAAATGCTATTTTAGGGGCCTCAATAATTACCTATACTATTTTGGGGGTTTAGGGTTCAGGGTTTAGGGTTTATAGGGGCTTTAAGAATTATCAGTACTATTTTGGGGGTTCCTTATTATGATTATAGTACAATGGGCCGTGAACCTTGTTCTACTTGTCAAGGCCCCTAAATAAAACTTTCAGGTCTGCTTCGCCACGGAAGATGCAAGCGACTTTTCTTGCTTGCTGTCCTGTGGCGTGGATGGCAAGGCCCTGGAACCTTAAACCCTAAAGCCTATTGTTGGCCTCTTTGTGTTGAGTTTTGTTTCGGGTAGCTGTTTCTTTCGTTCTGGTCCCTTCCAGTCTTCCTGTCCGAGCTTGTATTTCCCCATCGTGATTTTGCAGCTCTTAGAAGGCGTGTGAGTAGTTCTCTACATTTCTCTACATTATTTATAAGGGTGCCGTACTATATTGGGCACCTAGAAAGGGATCCTATGTCGAGAACTGCCTATGTGAGATACTAAGACCGCTGGCCCGGAAGCCGTTTTCTTTGGGGGGAGGGCGGGGGGGGGGGCTCTGGCCTCTCCCCCCCGGGTCCATAGCTCCGCTCCCCGTCCGAAAAGCCGAAGCATCATCCCCCAACTATAAGCAAGAACGGCACAAGTAGATGCTGAGCCACAGCCACTCCGCCTCGTATTTCCTAAAAGTACACACGAGCACTCGGGTTTCCTGAGCTTGGTATTACAAGCAAAACCGCTGCTGTTCATTTAATACCTGTGGAGTCCACATTACAGTAGCCTCCATCTCGGTGTATCTGCTTGTCCAAGATACTAATGTCCGTGACGACCACATCGACATGCAGGTAAAGGCTTGCATGCTGGCACTGATACTACATTGACTTGATGGGCACAGGCACGAGAAACGCTATCCCCCAAACACTAAACCCCTGAAGAGGCGTATGTGTCTTGTGCTCCTCAAGGCGCCTCTGACTTAAGCAGTTGGAAAACGGACCTCAACCAAAACCCAAAACCCAAAACCCTAAACCCTAAACCCTAAACCCTAAACCCTAAACCCTAAACCCAAGCAAGTCCCCAAATTCCGTCATCGCGGCTCCGTGTCCAGGTCCGCTGCTGGGATCCTGGAACAGGAGCCCCAAAGAAAGCGAAGGCCTGGCAAAGGATGCCCCAGAACCCCTTAACTAGGAATAGACCTGAAAACATAAAGATTAAGGCTCCTATAGTTTAAGGTAAATTCCTTTAGTTAAGGGGTTTAGGATTTTATGGTTTAAGGTTATTCCTTAATTAATGGGTTTTTGGCTCTCTGGGTAGATCTGTAGGGCTTGCTTTTCAGTTAGGCGACTTGGGGCTAAGTTTGCTGTGAAAGAACAGTCTCTCAAGGACTTACGCCGGTATATGTATTTACCAAGCAAGGGTTTAAGATTCGCCAGGGTCACTCTCTCGGAATCTCCATGGCTTGATCCGGATTCTCATAGTTTCTGAAAGTTGCTACAGTGCTGCCAGAAAAGGCTTCAAAGAGCCGGTCCAGAACATCCAAGCCTTGGGCTTGGGGGGGTTGAACCTCCGGGGCATGCGAGTGAAGAGCTGAGTCAAGAAGCCAAATCTATGCTTCCGAAATCCCGGGATCCGGAACCCTGAAGCCCTGAATGCCAAACCTCAAACCCTATACCTTAAACTCTACACTCCCAGCCTAAACATGTTAATGTCAAAATCCAGAGCCCTAACTCCTTAACCCTGAAGCTTAACCCGCCCTGCATCCGAAACCTGCCAGGCCGAGCCGCCACACACGAAGCGGAAGGTGGAAGCGAATGGTCTGCTGCTGCCACGTGCGAAGTGCGAGGAGGCCGTTCGGGTTGGCAAGATGCCAGGCCAGATGGCCGAAGAGTTCAAAGCCATAAGGTTTAGGGTTTAGGAGCGCGGATCTTGTACCAATCACTGCAGCAACCTCAGCTGAGCTGCAAAGTCTTTCGTCGCAGCATTGCCGCCACTATCGGCACCCTCACCAGCCGGCATTGCTTTCATGATGGTCATAATTGTGACAACGACCACCTTCATCAACATCAGAAGCCACCATCCCAAATAATGAGAGTCATCATCACTTTCTTTGTCATGATCATGTCGCCGTCACAGTTCTTTGCAGTCTCAACGTGGGTGTCGTCGTCATTGTCGTGCTCATCAGCATCCACGCCATCATTGCATGGTCATGTCATTGTTTCACCATCGGCGCGGCCCTCGCAGAACGGCTTTCCTCCTACTCGTCCTCCTCATAGTCTTCCCATTTATGTTCAACACCATCGCCACTGCACCATCATTATCAACATCATCATGACTGCCACCGCCTCAATCATCATCATCATCATCATCAGCATCATCATCATCACCAGCATCACCATCATCATCATCATCATCATCATCATCATCAACATCATCATCATCATCATCACCATCATCACCATCATCATCATCACCAGCATCACCATCATCATCATCATCATCATCATCATCATCGCCAGCATCATCATCATCACCATCACCATCACCATCACCATGATCATCATCACTGCGATCATCATTGCCACTGCCGTCGCTACCACCATTGCAGCATCATCGTCGTCCAGAGCTAGCTTCATGGATATCCACAGTGTCATTTCCCTTGCGGCGGGGGCAAATTTCCCAGCCCACGGGCCTGTATCCTCCGTGCTGACAGGTGACATGGCTGCCGGAGATCAACGTGGACTGCAGCACAGAGGATCTCTGGAGTTAGAAGCAAAGTAAAGATATGAACCTATCGCCAAAGAACAGCACTGTGTCTTTAGGGACCTCAGCCACAGTGACAAGTGTATCGATACGAGTGAAAGGCATGCGTGGCTGATGGAGCTTTAGCTTTAAAGTCAGAACCCTTCACTCTTCAGGAGAGCAGCCAAGGACTCCTGACGCAGCCAGCGCCCCCTGGGCGAAACGAGCCCTTAATCCCAGCCCTCACCACTATATGGAAGTTTCCGAAAATAGGATACCTTATTTTGGGGTCCTTTTCGAAGGATCCTACTATATTAGGGTCCCCTATTTTCGGCAACCCCGTTATACCCCCAGGATTCT